GAATGTCGAGCGTGATTCCACCGACTATCCAAACATCATTGTCAAACTTTTAGGCTTACGGGAAAGCGGCACCGAACGTCACACGTACACGTTTAAAACGTGTGCCTCAACCTCTCTATTATTAGCTTGTTTTCTTACATGTATAAAATCTATATTATATGTATAAAATTATTTTCTTCATTTAATGAATTAAAAAAAATAATAATAAAGTTTATAGCTTTCATTATTATATTCTATTGTTTAATAATAATGAATTTATTTTGAAGTGACTCCAATTCCGGAATCTTCCCCAGTAACGGAAAAGCAAGACACCATCAGTGCCATGTGCCAGCAACTATCTCAAGGTCTTACACTCCTTAGCAGTACTGATGATCCTTTTTTGTCTTCAACAGTAAAAGAACATCAAAATCAGCAAGGTATTTTAAATTATTAAATACTTTTGAATCATAAAAAAAGTTTAAGAAAATGATTTATATTTCATTGTAAAAAGTAAATTACTTTTTATTTAAATACAAAAAATAAATTGATTGAACTAAAAATTTAAAATGTTAATTTAATTTTTCCTATGATAACAAATATTAGAATAGCCTTTAAATATTATTACAAGATAATTAAATAATTAATTAATCAAACAGTATTACTGATTATCTTGTTGTAAATGATTAATGTAAATTTCTAACAAACAGATCAGACACTTACTGACATTGCCTCAACAACAATCACTCATGAAAATATACACAGATACAGTAGAGTGTCGATTATCCGAATCAATTGGGGACTGGGGTTGTTCGGAAAATCGATATTTCGGATAACCGATTATGTACGAAAAAATATATTAATTTATCTCATCTTGACATTTTTCTCCGTTGCGTGTTGCTTCACATTGAATTTTCGTCGATGTTAAGCCTAACGAAGACTATTGTATTGTTAAAAATTATTTTTTTATTTTGTACAAACAAAATAAATATATTGAAAAATATAAAAACAATAAAAAATTATACTTCAGAAGTTAATTTAGTATCAAAAATGTAAAATATTTGAGTAGCCCAAGACATAGCCAAAGATTGCAGCGCCACAGCACTGGCAAAAATTTAAATTTGCCGACTGGAGTTCTTCGGATAATTGACGCTCTACTGTACACCAATGAAAACAATCACTATAATTACAACAACTGTCACTATAGATACAGAATTAATTTAAAAACAGATTTATTCCAAGAAACATACTAAATGTACAGGATTAGACTTTTCATTTATCATGAATATCCAAAATACACATACCAAAACTAAAGAAAACTTTATTTAAATACTCATATTACTGAAATTCATTCAACCAGAAACACGTGCACACACACGTGCGCACATATATATATGACTGCCTGTGCCAGAATAGATCGTGCTTATTATGCTATACAGTAGAACCTCGCATAATGAGCAAATCAAATTTTTTAAAAATGACTCTCTTAATGAGCAAAGTTTCACATAATGAGTGAGAAGGAGAGGGGAAGTTCCAGATTGTGTGCATGCTCCACCATGCTATTTTCTGTGATTTTTTTTGTTTTTTTTTGTTTTCTGCAAATTGAATTTGCATTCCAGGTTGGTCATTCCATGCCAGAAGAAAAGATAATGATGATTCACTCTCCTTAACAATGTATATTGTATAATTTTCTTTGAATAAACATTATACGTAAAATACCGTATTTACTTGCGTATAAGATGATCTCGCATATAGGACAAGGTATGAGTTGAAAGATCAAAATAAAGAAAATTAGATTTATTAATACAATTCTAATTTTATTTCATTTAATCACAAATAAATTATCGTCAAATGCATGTATTAACAATCATGTTTTCTTGACGCTATCACTTTTTGTCTACTCGGACTCGCCCTCCAAAGCTTCATTACAATTCTCCTTTTTTTCACTTTTATTCCACAAAGCATCGTCCTCTGATCTGTTGAGTGAATTTAAAATGCAGTATTTCCTGAATGACTGCTATTGTCTTTTGAAGATTGCTATTCCACACACCTGATACCCATGTAGCAAAACCAAAAGACTACAATGCATGTGACAGGAAAAAGTTTATTTTTAATGATTCAGAATGTACAAATATTCATTAAAAATACCAATTTAACAAATATGAAATAACTACATTTATAATCATTGGTAAGTGATCAGCTATTTTCAGATCATTGCTTTAAAAGTGACATTCACGTTGACTTCGATAGCACTCTGCTATAATGGCAGCATGAACTATACACGGTTCACAAAAATACTTGCAAAAATGCAAAGTATCCTTCACTCACACATATAGGATGATCTAGTTTTTGAAGCAATGAAAAATGAATAAAAACCTCATACACAAGTAAATATGATTATTGAATATTTTTTTCAACATGGAATGCATTATCATATTTTACATTAATTTTTATGGAAAAAATTGTTTCACTTAACGAGTGTTTTGCATTACAAGTAAGGTTCTGGAACAAATTATGCTCATTAAGCGAGGTTCCACTGTACTTATCATGAATGCAATCACAGATACATACAATCCACACATGGACAAATCATATGAAGAAAACTAGAAACCCAAATAAGTAACATTAAACAACAATTAGGCAGAGTGATACAATACAGTAAAATAACACAGCACCAAACTTAATGAAAGAAGCCTGCCAACATGAAGATGAAATCAACAAAAGCTGGAATAAATGAATGAGTTATGCCATGTGTTGATTACTGTGCTACATTGCAGTTTTTAAACAGATCAACAAAAGCTTGAATAAATGAATGAGTTATGCCATGTGTTGATTACTGTGCTACATTGCAGTTTTTAAACAGAGTTAATGAAAGAAATTATAGAAAACTTTTAGAAAAATTAAAACACACAGAGCATGAACAAGTGACACTATAGACACAGAATTAATTAACACACACAACACACACACAAAAATTTATTCTAGAAACATTCACTAAATGCAGTAAATATGCCACACAGAGATCACAAATGCCCAAAATACATAGATCAAAACAAGTAAGGAATATTCTACACTATGTAAACACTACTCCATTGATATTACCAAAACACATTCAACTAGAATTAAAACTTTCAGACATACATATATTAATCTGTTTTAGTGCAGTCACTATAGTTACATAAAATTTCTTTAACTATACTTGCAAACAGGCACATACAAAATGTAGGCAAGTTGTAAGCTTGTCTGGAAAGCTGGAAACAAATACATAACATTAAAGAATAATTAGGCAGGCTGATACAATATTGTGAAGTTGCCAAATTGGGGATTTTCAAATGTCTGGATTTATTGGATGTGGGGTGGATGGAAGCAAGGCAGACACCTGTAGTTACAAATAAACCCATTTATTTATGCTAAATCTTACATTCTATAGTATGTCTTGTCAACTGTTGGAGCTTGTCTGTAGAGTCAATGGTCCCAGGACAGTCGGTTGAGATGTTTCTATGAGTGTCAGGAAGTCCAGTGACAGTGTCGAAAATCAAAATAGTTCAAGGTGGAATGTGAAATTAGGGATGAAGAGTTCATATGTTCATTGAAGACTTGTCGGATAACTCACAATGTGAGGCAGAGGAAAGTCTGCCTTTGTCCTTGAGATCTAGGCTTTTAAAGAATTTTTTCCCCTAGATCTCTAGCTTTCTGATTGGTCAGTTTCTTGTATCCGGGTAGACAACAGGCTACAACAGGCCCTTCGTGGCCTGTTGTATCCAGGTAGATAACAGGCCCTTCGCGGCCTGTTATCTACCCGGATACAAAAAATCAAATCAAATTTGACACAGCATTTGATTTGATCAAGGGAAATTAATCGCACTTTGAAACTCTTGCTTGTATTTAACTATTGTTTCGAATTCTTGTAAGTCTGACACACAATCTCTATGCTAGATCTCCTGTTTTAGGTTATTTAAAAACGTTTTTTCTCTTGACTAATAATTTTATTCTTTTCTGATTTTATTTGCATTTTGTTTTTCCCCCCAGTTTTTCTTTTACAAGCACTAGATTCCCTAGATTCCCTGATTTGACACTTTTATTTAATTTTTAGCACATGAGCTTGAGTCTTGCTGAGGCCTCACAATCTGCTAAAAACAACATAACACCAAACTTCATGAAAAAGGTTAGGAAAATATTCAAGAAAATTAAAAAACACACATACAGCATGAATATCACAATATGCATATACAAGAATATATTGAACATTTAAACAAAAACAAGCAACCAAGTAACAAAGACTGAAATGAAACAAAATATGTACACTATGTAAAAACAAAAAGTATTTGTGAACAATGAGAATCTTTTTTACAGACAGCTATAAACCAAATTCACTACACAATCATAGCACAGTGGAAATACAAAAACAACAGAAAAACAGCTCACAGATCTATGCTTTGGTCTAATTCAGTGGTTCTCAACTGGGGGTACATGTACCCCTAGAGGTACAAACATAAATTGAAGGGGTACATCTAACTTTCATTATAAAATGGCGTATGTTAATCAATTTGCTGTAAATTATTAACACAAGAAACAAGAAATGATAAAAACTTGCTTTAAAATATCCCAGTGTGAACACTGTAACTGTTAAATTTTCCCTTTTAACAGTCTAAACAACTTGTTTATCCACTTGATTTGCTTGTCTATTTATGTCGTTAGTGCCGAGTGAACCTGTAGTCTAGTAAAATTACAGTTTAATCGAGCATTAATTTTATTTAATAATTATAATTATTGATTGATAAGATTGTGGCTTTTCGTATTTTTACTGGACTACTGGTATTAGGAATAACGAGGCCTGGATCATACCCCCACTATGCAATGTGTGTTACTGCATGCACGCATTACTTGATATTTAGCAAATTTAGATGTTATGTTTGTTACAAAAATTGAAAGATTCATGTATTGTTTTGCACGTTATAAATTCACAGCCATTACTTTCAAGGTCAGTACACAATTATAATCTCTATTTAACAACATGGGAACCAAATATCTCATTAAATTTTGTTAGAAATTATTCTAGAATAATTAAAATTTTTTTTATTGTTAATTATAATTATTTATTTTTAGGAAATATAATTTATGCATAATATACTTATCACATAATAATAAATAAATGTATGTACTTGATTAAATTTATTATTATTTACGTAAAATAAGTAATCCACTTTTAGTTATAGTTAGTTAGTTACAGTTTTTTTATGGCACTCAGTTATAAGTGCTGTATACATCTAACGCAGTAATTATAAAATTTACATACAAAAATATAAGGGGTACTTGAGAAACTAATAGGGTACATTAACAAAAAAAGGTTGAGAACCACTGGTCTAATCTAATCAAACACATAAAAATGAATCAAGCGTGATAAAGTGAAAGAAACAGACATGCATAATAGAATATAACAATCATTTCTTATGTTGGAATAAAATATAGGATATCCAAATTACAGTATAAAGAACATACAATTTGAAGACATCTGATGAAGTCAACATTCACAATTTCCAGTATACAAAAAATGTACATTTCTGCACCAGGATCTCACCAAGCATTTTACATACACAATCAACAATCCACAAGACACACCAAAATTTCTTACAATGGCATCACATACATGAAACCCAAGAAATGATAACGCCTAAGACCTTACATAATACAGACTATTCAAATGTGTTCTTACACGCTACTCTATTTGCATCACAAACAAACTATATCATCATATAGAATGACACAACATTCTCACAGAGCAACAAAAAGGTTGTTATAGAAAGCAAATTGGATGCAAAAAATAGTTATTCATAGATTTGGTAATTCTACAACAAACACATAAACAACCCAGAAGCCTACATGTAGCCTTAAATTAACTTTGATAAAATAGTTTTGTGTATGAAAATTTTCATTTCATACAATTATGTGGATTATTTTTATTTATATTTAATAATTACAAATTTCTGTTTGCAGAAATATTCAGATTTTGTTCAGTTTTGAATATATAAATATTTGTTTTGAATAACAACTGAAGACGTTAATTAAAGTTATAAAACTATGTAACTTTAAATTATAAAGTAAAAATATCAAAAAATAATACCAATAGGCAGTATCTGTAATTGAAATACAGTTGAACTCGGTTATAAGGAACACGAATATAACTAATTCATTTTTATAATGAGCAAAACACCATAATAATTTAAATTTATGCATATTTTCATTACATTTTCTCACAGTTATGACGAGGGTATGGATATACCAAGCAAATTTTTGGTAGCTGTGCAAACACATGAACATTTGTAATTGTTCAAGTAGTAAGAAGTGTGATATTGTATTCTTGGAAGAGATAAACTGAAAGGGTTACTTAGTTTTATGACCTGCTTGGATTACAAGCCTATTTATCACTTAACTTTCCATTTGGGGACAGTTTCCCTCTTTCTTGACTAGCTTCTGGCCGTACTCTGACAATTTATCTAATCATCATTACAATTGTAAAATTATGTACTCTAGTTAGAAACAAATCTTTCTATGAGGAAAATGTCTATGAATAAAAAAATATTTTTCTTGGTTTAGGAAAAAGTAGATATTATTCTGAAGTTAGAATGTGATGCGAAAACGTCAAAGTGTGTAGAAAGTTTTCTTTGTCATTTTTGACAGCATCAACATTAAGGAAAAATAAAGCACTCATAAAATTGAAGATTTGTAGATAAAATAACTAACTGAAATTGGGCTAGTATTATCTTTAATTATGAAGAAGTAAATTTGTTTAATATTAATTATATTTAGTTTATATAACTATTAATAAAAATACAGTATAATGTTATTACATATTATTTTAAAAAATTTATTTAGAATTAAAAATTAAAAGATAGATTTCACTAATCATCAGTGGCATAGCTACAAATTTTGCTGCCCACAGGACTCCCCTAAGTGTTTGTACCTGAAGCAGCCACCCATTCTCCCCCTAGTTATATCACTGGTCTTCATGGATATGAGTAACAATTATAACTAGGAAATCTTGCTGGTTCTCTAATACTCATTACAACCAACTTCAACTATATTTGTTTTCATCTGTAATTCAAATTATAATTGAGATCCTGATTATGACTAGAATTGCAAAAGTATAGTTGAATTAAACATACTAAAAGAAAATGTTATTTTTAAACAAGGATGAAAAACTTATTGACTGTTTAAATAATTTTATTACTTTAAGGTGATGCTATTTTATTACTTTATGGTGATGAGAAGTATAAATGTTATATTTCTCATCAGAATTTATTTCTTTAAATAGCAATAAATTTTCCAACAGTTAGTTAACAATTTTTTATTTATCATATTCTTGAAATTTGATAAATATATAAATTTAAACTAAAAGCAGTTTGTTAAATTTTAAATATAATTAAATGTGCGTATTTAATGTTTAAGTGGTGATTAATATATATTCGAAAATCAATGAAAATGAATTGACTAACAGTTTACATTGGTTTATTAAAAACTAGAAATTAATCAACTTTTAATTAAGAAATTGTTAAATATATTTTTTGTTTTTTCAATTAAAATGATTTTAATTTTATTACTCTAAGAAATTACAAACTATAATTTAATAATTATTAATAATTTTTTTTAGTTATAAATCCATGGGCTGGAGCTGGATTAAGTTCTCGGGCTGAAGCTTGGCTTGCTAGCAATACCAATGCTATACAAGATAAAGAAGAGCAGAATAACTCATCTGGAGATAATATTTCCCCTGGAAGTCTTGTGAAAAGTACATCAAATCCATCAGATTTATTTGTTATTCCACCACATATGACATCTGCACAACCACCACCAACACAACCAGTGGTACCACCTCGTCGAAGCAGTCCAAATTTTTCTCATTTACGTAGTCAGTCATTAGGCTCAGCAGAAGCTTTTGTATTTCAAAATTCAGGTAATAAATCGGTCACATATGATCGATCACAACATATTAAATCAGCACAACCAGAAATTCAGAATCATTCCCAAACAAAAAGTACATGGGCTAATGGGAACATTCATTCATCATCTCAATCTTCGGAACCCCCACCTTATAAAGATCCATTTGATGCAGAATGGGCTGCACTTGCAACACGACATCAAGTAAGCACAAATCCTTTTGCACAACATTCTGTCAAAGCATTTGAAGTGCATATGTGAATAAAAATTTATGAAATTAGCCAAATTGTATTGGTTGTTAACTGCTGTGAATTTGTTTTATATCCAGAAAGAAATAACTTAAAAAGTTTAATTGCTTGAAGGAAGTTTTCTTCAAAAATGACGGCAGCTGCTGCACCAAAATTGTATGTTGATTGCCTTACTAGTTATAATTGTTATCAACCAGATGGGCAATGTTGTTACAGCAAAATTTGGCATGTTGTTTTTAACTATACTTAAAGAAATATATTCAAAATATGCATTTCAGTTGGCTAATTATTACATAATCATTCCATATTCATAATATGCAGCTGTTTGGACATAGATATTTAGTGGGTTGATAACTGTATATTATATTCATAATACCAACTATTATGCTGTGTATTTGATTATTCTTCATTCATAGAAATTAGTCTGAAAATTTTTTCTCTTTCTGGAGAAAAGAAAATCTCTTACAATTTGTTTGTTCATCCGTCTGAGAAACAACGAATGGAAAACTGTGTAAAAGGAAGCTTGCATGTGATTTGTTACAATCCGGTCCTGTTCTTCAAATAAAGCAGTACATATTTTTTGATAATGATATAAAGTCTGCAATTAAATTTTTCAGTGAATGCTTAGTTTTATCATGTTCAGAGACAAGCTGGATAGACGAAAATTCTGATGTCTGGAATATATATCAGACTAGTGCCCTAGCCATCAAAGAAAAATGATCATATCCTTTTATTTTCTCCAGATGTAGCAACCTGCTGTAAAATCTGACTTCATTTCACCTTTGTACAGACTTTATAGGGTGATCTAAAGTGTGATGTTTATACAGGAGAAAACTATATTGATGTCAGATTGTACAATATACAGTATATGCCACTTACTACTCAGGCAAGCCTTTGTGTATCAGAAATTCTCATTTTAACTCTTCCATATTTGTGCTGACTAATATACCGTGCTTTGATTTTATTTCTTCCGAACCTCACTGCACAAAATCTAATTAGCTAGACCGCATTAGAATAATAGTAACACAAATGTGTATAGTATTATATTACTTTAACCAAAAGATGATGGCATACAATAATAACATAAAAAGAGGTTAAAACAAAAAACTGCCTATTATGATTTTATATGTACATGTGAGATCTAATATTGAACAAAGTTCATAATTAACTTGTATTTGTTCTTGTCACTTAGTGTAATAAAAAAAAACATAAATATTATTACAAGTTTCTGTTATCCTGAATTGTGAATTTTTATATTAAGAATTTTTACATTTAATTTTTTCTAAATATTTCTTAAAAATTTATTTAGGAAACCTTTAAACATGTATTTAATGAGTTAATTAAATTGTTGAATTTGTTAATCAGTATCTAAAAATATATAATGTAAATTAAATTTTTTATTTATAGAATTTTATTGAAAAACAATTTTTTAAGGTATAAATTCAATTTTCTGTATGTTAGAGAAAAGATAATTTCAAATATATTTTAAATCTAAACTTTTGAATCTAAATATAACTAAAAATGTATTTGAAATCTAAACTTTCCACTGAAATACCAAAAGTTCATAACATATCTAAAAATAATCTCTATGATTGTACAAATCTATAAATTGCTTTTTGAATCATACCAAGAACGTGATCCAAGAAAAAATTTTTATATAACTAAATTTTAATTGATGATGCATACTTATGAAAAAGATATTAATTTATAAATTAGAACTGAGCCAGAAATATATTTTAAATTATTGCACAAAATCTACTAATATACTTGTTTATAATTATTAATATTATATTTCAAGTATTCAATGAATACAATTAACTATGCAACTCATTTATATTTCACATATTTATTTACTATTGAAAAATTAAAATTTGAATAATAATAAACTGTTTGGACTTAAAATTTAAATTATCCATTATTATAATTAAGTCAATAACTTATTTCCAGTATTTCAAAATAAAATATTTTAGTAAATTAATATTTAAACATTGTAATCCGTTATCAAAAATTTTATGATAGAAACAACAGAATCTCAAATAATCTTACAAAGTAATGATAAAATTCATCTTTTTTATAATTTACAAATAAGAATATTGTGATAATCTATACATATTATATTAGTCAGCAATTTTGTAAATGATGGCTTAGAAAAACGAAGAGAAAATGATGTTTAAAATTTAAATGATGCAAATTTATTATTATAATAATTATTATTGACGCACCTCTCTGAAAATATGCCCATTAAAACAAAGATACAGCTTGTCATTCTGACAATCCACAAAATTAAAGATTTCTCAATAATTTACTGAAATAACAGTTTTTAAATTTGTATTTCTGTAATGTAAAAGATGTATATGTTTTTGATTTTAATAAGTAGTACTTGAATCTGCAATTATTTTGGAGGAGTATTTTGTTCCCAGACATATATATTGTAAAATCAGTTAAAAATTAATAATTGTTTGATTAAGTTTAAAATTTACTGTTATTTGTTATGCATATTTGCTTTGAAATTAAAAAAAATATATATTTTTTCTAATATATCCATTGGGGCATTTAAAACTATTCCAATAGAATTTTTTGTTGGAAATTGTAACTTTTTATATATAATAATTTACGAAAAATAATACATTTGGATAGTCATAAATTTCCTGCTATAAATAAAAAATAACAAGTTAGAAAAACAGCCATTATTTAATTAAATTTCTTATTGTATTTAAGTGTTTAACGTTTATTTTCACGCTCTATGAATTTGGTAGAGGTCTAATACATTAGTCTTATATAAACTCCAGCTACATGACAATACATCTTAAACATATACAATATATGTAACAATAGTATTTCAGTAAACAGATAGAAAATTTATTTTATATTCGCTTGTTTATGTTGTTAAAATACTGTATATAAGTATGTAATGGAGATTGTCTTCTCATTAAAATTTATTTTTAAATTATAATATACAAATTTATTCATTTATTTCTTGAAAAATTATTAATAAAAAAAACTAGACGACCTTAATTTTCTAAGGAAATTAGGACAATATTGTATTTATGTATTGATTTCTAAGCTGTGTCTGAAAGTAGTAATTTAAATAACATATTTCCATAAATTATAGAAAACCATAGAAATGATGCGATAAATTTTTCAATAATATATATACCTCGTATATATAATAAACATTAAATTCCTGTTATATTGTATGATGATAACTATTGTAACAGGGATTTAGTATCAGAAAATAGTTTATTACAGCATTCGATAACTAGATGAATTTATGCTATATTATATACAAATTGCTGCCCAATACATTTTTTTTTGTATAAGTCATTTATATCAATATTACATTATTATTACATAATTTATTAAAATAAATTTTAAAAAATCATCATGAATACAGTATAATAATACTACCAAGAAATTTATATCACGAAATAATTATGACTTATTCTATAAAATCAAGATTTTATAGAATAAGTCATAAACTTAAGGTAGTGAATAAATAATCTGAAATAGCTAAACTGACAAGTGAGATAACGTTTTCAATTGCAGTCGGTATCATACGTAATTATGTAACTTAATTATATTATTATTTAATTACATTCCATATACTAACGTTTCTTAACCTTGACGACTTCAAATAATATATTAGAAAACAGATATTTATATAGGAAAAAACTTTGTTATCGCAATCTTCCATTTTTCAAATCTAGTAGAGCACGCAAAATCAGTTTCCGAAGACACTACAGGATGAAAAAAATTGTCATGGACGTTATTTAGCCTATTAGTTAATAAAGTGATCGAAACAAATGGTAAAGATCATAGACCTATTCGAGATGTTTGTTTGTCTGCTTTATCAATCAAAAACTTAAAATAAATAGGCCTACTTAGCCTAATAGATATTTATTGATTTTCTAATAGTTAAATGAGGATAAATAAATCAAACATTATATGTGTATAATCCTTATTGAATGGATAATTTGTTAAATGTAATTAAAGGTTAAAGATTGAAAATAACAAAATATGCTCAATATCCGCAAAACAAAGATCGAACTATCTTCAATTTTAGGTTTTTTCTGAAATTAGTGTCTTGATCTCAGTTTGGAAGCGATAAGCGTTAACCAGGACCGAATTTTGAAGTTATTCTATTTATTGATAACTTCAAAATTCGGTCTTGCTTCAATTTGCTGAACAAAAAAAGATTATTTTTAAAATACATTTTACTAATTAATTATTTTTGAATAGAAAAAAAATATTTGGATTTTCTGATTTTTTTAATATTCTGTGCAAAGTATATCATTCTGTCTTTGGTAGATGATAAAAAAATGTTTTCATGAGTTGATATGGAATTTTTTATGAAGTGATTATTTTTTTATCATCATCTAATGGATAAATATATCAAACATTCTCTACACGTGTATAACTCCTATTAGATTTATACACAAAAGTAATTTTAGGTGCAAATTATATCCAATGGCTTTGATCCAAATGCAGTCTTTCTAAGTTGAAGTTTTCGCATCAAATTAAGTTTAGTTATAATTAGGGACCTCCAGTGGGGAGCAAAAGGAGCAAATTGCCCCGAGCCGAGGAAGTAGGTGTCTCTATATAATTTTTTATTTACTTCCTTCAATATAGTAATTTAATTTACTACGAGGCCCGGAATATGTATTTTGTTCCAGACCCTCATTATCTTCTGGATGACTCTAGTTGTAATGAATAAAAATTTTGTATAAACGAAATTACTATATCTCATCTTTCAATATTCAATGTATCTGAAAGTTGTTTTAAAACAAATTTAGAAATTTGATCAAATCTATGAATAAAATTTAAAAAAAATTAATATTCTTCTTCGATTATAGACTATTTTACTGTTATTGAACTTTCAACTACCATGGGTAGATTTGCCAGAAATTCTTGATGTGAAAAAAGAACGAAGATAAAAATAGAACATTTCCTTCCAAAAACGAACTATCATGGTTACAATAGTGAATAATAATAAGAAAAACCAGCCCTTTCAGAAATCAGTTAGGCCTATATATTTATCACACGTTATAAATATATACAATGCTTTAAACCTCAAACGAAAATTACACTATTAACTTAGGCATATATAGTACTATTATCGTCAATTAATCAATAATATAATATCTCATAAATATTTATTTGGTTACAATTGACATAATAACATTTATAAAAGTCAAAATATAAATAATCAGGGTCATTTTATTCACACCTTTTTTCAAATTTGTAATTAATGAATGAGTGCCAATAATTTGTTTTAATATCAAAGAAATTCTTAGTGTAGAAGTTTTGTAATTCTACACTACGTAATAATACTAAATTATATGTATAGTTATTATTCTTTGTTATATTATTCAGAGCAACATTTTATTTAGAAAAAAACTTTTTCTAAAAAAAAAAATATTCTGGCAATCTAACAGATAATAAACTACCAGTAGTTATTGTAATGGAAAGTAGTAAGTTGACATGCAGAATTGTACTGTTTATTTTTTAAGATACAACAATTTTGCAATATCACATACAATAGTTATGTAATTTTGCTTATAGGATAATGTTTTTAAAATTACATCTACAGATAAAAATGCGTAGATTCATTTATTTTCGGATTGTGGAATAATCAGATTTTTATTTGCAGTCACAGTTATTTAAAATATAATTGAAATCTTACAATGCCGAAATGAATAAAATAAGGGATAAATAATGTGATTTATTTTGTTATCTTGGCAATTTATGTTAATCCTATTTTCGTAAAGTATTGGACGAATGGACAGTTTTTAGAATGAAGGTAAATAAATAGACATCTAAACACATACACACATACAAAAACTCGTTTTATAATTATCGGTAATCATAGATCAAGTTTTTCACGTCTCAACCAGTTTTCGATTCGTCGGAAATGTCTTTGGTATGCAACTCATTTCCGGTTTGTTCCGACTACAAGTTTGTTCGAGGAGTCTTTTCATTTTTTAAACTATAAAATCGACAAAAGAAAATTTATTTGCTTTAATTGCTTTAATTAAAGTGATTCTTTTCGAAGAGGGAAATTACAGGATATCAATGATCGATATAAGAGATGTTTCGAAATTTGTTTTTAAGGTTGACTATCTTCAAATTTATTCTTTTGCAGATGTCATATCTTATTTTACAAGTTATTAACTTATAGGCCTATAGTTAAACTTATATTAATCAAAACTCAAAGAAGATAAACAAGATATT